TTCTCTCTGGCCCCAGGACCTTTGCACCTGGCACTCCATCAGTCTGGAATCCTCTCCCCCAATTCCCCAGGTTAACCCAAGGCTGCTCAACCGTCATTTCCACCCTGAAAGTATCAGGTCCCCTCTTTTACATCCCTTGGTAACATTTGCCTAAGATGTGATTAAACAATTCTTCGTGCAATTATTTTGTCCACTGTATGCCTCTCTTGGTAGAATGCAAGCTCCATGAAAGCAGCACCTGCCGGCGCTCGGTCACCAGAGCGCCTAGTTAAGAAGGCAGATGAGAGGACGCAACAAGCATTTAATATGCCTGGATGAATGGTTTTAAATGAGTTACAACCTTGAGAGTTAACCTCCCCCATTAACAGATGTGGAAACTGAGGCTCAGAGCGCGCAAGGGAGTGGCCCGCCGTGTCGACGACAAGGACACTGCCGCGGGGAGACTACAGCTGCTTCCTCCGGGGCTCTGGAATTGCCGGCAGCTGGGGAGAGCCTCCAGGCCGCCAATCCACCGCTGTGGGGCTCGCAGGAAAAGGCCTCCGGGGAGGGCGCGGGGCGCTCTGGGAAATGTAGTCCCGCCAGCTCCCTGAATCCAGCGTCCCCAACTTTCGCTTCCGGAGGGCTCAGTTCTCGCGCGTTGCTTTGGGAAAGACGCGCCATATTCCGGGAGATCTCTCTATGTCTCCCCACAGTTCGGGAGGCCAAGGCAGGCGGATTCCTTGAGCTCAGGAGTTCAAGACTAGGATGACCAACTTGGCGAAACCCCTTCTCTACAAAATATGCAAAAATTAGCCAGGTGGGCCAGGCGCAGTGGCTCACACCTGTAATCCCAACACTTTGGGAGGCCGAGGCAGGCGGATCACCAGGTCAGGAGTTTGAGATAAGCCTGGCCAACATGGTGAAACCCTGTCTCTACGAAAAATACAAAAATTAGCCAGGCGTGATGGTGCGTGCCAGTTTTCCCAGCTACTTGGGAGGCTGAGGCAGGAGAATCACTTGAACCTGGGAGGTGGAGGTTTGCAATGAGCCAAGGTCTTGCCATTGCACTCCAGTCTGGGCAATAGAGTGAGACTCTGTCTCAAAAAAAAAAAAAAAAAAAAAAAAAAAAGCCGGGTGTGGTGGTGTAGGCCTGTAGTTCCAGCTATTCAGGAAGCTAAGGTGGGAGGATCGCTTGAGCCCAGCAGGTCGAGGCTGCAGTGAACTGTGACTGTACCACTGCACTCTAGCCTAGGCGACAGAGCAAAACAGTCTCAGAAGAAAATAAATTTAAAAAGCCACTTCATTCCAACAGTGATATTCACTCGGGATCGTCTGTGTGGCGTCTGTTAATTTAATCCAGTGTTGCTTATGCTGTGCAGTGCGCGAGGCCATCCCTTTCCCGTCTTTTTTTTTTTTTTTTTTTTTTATACAGAATCTTGCTCTGTTGCCCAGGCTGGAGTGCAGTGGCGTGATCTCGGCTCACTGCAACCTCTGCCACCCGGGTTCAAGCGATTCTCTTGCCTCAGTCTCCCAAGTAGCTGGGATTACAAGATGCATGCCGCCACACCTGGCTAATTTTTGTATTTTTAGTAGAGACGGGGGTTTCAGCATCTTGGCTAGGCTGGTCTTGAACTCCTGACCTCCTGATCCACCTCTCTCAGCTTCCCAAAGTGTTGGGATTACCGTGCCCGGCACTCTTTTCGGTTTTAAGAAAAATTGCTTCTCCTGAATTTGAGCCTTAGTGGTTAGCAGCCTGGACTGAGACACGGACTGAAGTTTTGTTACGAGGCGGATCCTTGCCTCAAGCTATCCTTCCCCGCCTTGGCCTCCCAAAGTACTGGGATTACCGGCATGAGCCACTGTGCCCGACCAAGTTTGCTGGCTTTGAACAGGGAAGAGGCGGACTTCATCTGTGAACTTTTTCAGGCCAGAGGAGAGGGGGTGTAGAATAGTAACTGGAAGAGCAGCCCAGAGACTGCGGACTGCCGCACGCTCGCGCATGCTTACTGAGATGCTGGGCTACGTTACCCACAATGCGTCCCTTTGAGGACCACATTAACCACAATGCGCATCGCGGGCCCGCCCACGCAGCCTTGTTGCCACGCCCAAACAGCCGGCTCAGCCAATGATTCGAAGGCTGCGTTACCCACAATGCCGCCCGCTAGCCTGGCCATACGGCCTGGTTCCCATGCCTGACCTGGGGGTCTTCGGCCCGGCTTTGGCGTCCGGGGCTGCGAAACTTGAGGTCCGCGGTCTCACTCCAGCTCATATCCGCCGCTCCGACTCTGGCCCGAACTTTCCACGGCCCGCAGCACTGCCAGTGAGTGCGGGGGTCACGGGGACGCGGGTCCCGGTCGAAGCTTCGATTTCGCGGCCCCGCCAGCGTCGGGGTCTGCTGCAGCCTCGGGCAGCGCTCACCCTCCACCTGAGGGGTGAGACGGGAAAGCAAGCCGGCCTGGGAGTCCCAGCCCTCCCAGGACCCTGGAATTGGGGGGCCGTTGTGACCACCCTCTTGCGGGTGTCTGACGGGGTCTTGTAGGGACTTAAGGGTTTGCCAGACCCGGATACCGAGGGTCAAATTGAGGCAGAGTCTGTACCTTGCTTGGCACAAGGGCCCAAGTTTTTATCAGATTTCCAAAGGAACCCCTTCCATATAGGACCCACTGTAATCATAGAAAATGACGATTCTCGAGCTCTGACAGCAAACATCCCTTTTAGATTGTTTTTGTTTTTGTTTTGAGACGGAGTCTATCGCCCAGGCTGGAGTGCGGTGGCGCGGTCTCAGCTCACTGCAACTTTCGCTTCCCCGGGTTCAAGCGATTCTACTGTGTCAGCTTCCCGAGTTGCTGGGATTACAGATGTGCTACCACCACGTCGGGCTAATTTTTGTATTTTTGGTAGAGACTGGGTCTCACCACGTTGACCAGGCTAGTCTCAAACTCCTGACCTCACGCGGTCTGCCCACCTTGGCCTCCCAAAATGCTATTGCAGGCGTGAGCCACTGCGCCTGGCCCATCCCTTTTAGTTCTGTCAGCAACCTGTGTGTGTAGGCCCTGTTATCATCTCTGTTTGCCCAGTGAGGAAGCAAAGCCCAGAACCCTTCAGTAAATTATGTCAGAATTAACAGGGGTTTAGTAGCAAAGATGGCATTGATTTACTTCATCCCTTTTCTTTTTTTCAGGGGGAGTGAGCTGGTCTTGGAACCAGGGCAAGGGCTTCCTTGTCCAGAGGGCTTATCCAGCCCCAACGCTGCCCTTCAAATGGTTTTGTCGTCTTTCCGCAGGGCCCTGAAAAAAAAACTTCCTGTGTCTGTCCAGAGGTATACAGAGAGAGACAGGTTCAATTCTAAGGCCTAAAAAGGAACAAGTCCCACTGGGAACAATGGCCACCATCCCTGGCCTCCAGCCCCTGCCACCCTTGGAGCAGGATCTGGAACAGGACGAGATCCTGATTGTGAAGGTGGAGGAGGACTTCGGCTGGGAAGAGGAGCCCTCCGTGGAGACGGAGGACCCCAGCCCCGAGACTTTCCGCCAGCTCTTCCGGCTCTTCTGCTACCATGAGGTGGCTGGGCCCCGGGAGGCCCTGAGCCGCCTCTGGGAGCTGTGCTGCCGCTGGCTGCGGCCGGAGCTGCGCACTAAGGAGCAGATCCTGGAGCTGCTGGTGCTGGAGCAGTTCCTGACAGTGCTGCCGGGGGAGATCCAGGCTCGGGTGCGCGAGCAGCAGCCGGAGAGCGGTGAGGAGGCCGTGGTCCTCGTGGAAGGGCTGCAGCAGCGGGAGCCCAGGAAACACAGGCAGCGGGTGAGGTGGGGGGCATTTTGACCCTCAGGTGAGAAAACGGGGCCCTGCTGCTGGGGTTTGCAGCTGGAGATTCCTTGGTCATTGGGTGACCAAGGGTGGCTTCCTGGACACTGTGAATTGAAGAAGGCACCTGCAAAAGGTTTCTCAGCCATGGCCAATGGGTGTCCACCCTTTGATTAACCACATGCTACCCTGATAGCCATTTATTAGCTACAGCAGATGGTATGTGAACACTGTCCTAGGTTAGACCAAACAGGTTTTTGGGTTGTTTTTTTTAAGACACGGTCTCCCTCTGTTGCCCAGGCTGTAGTACAGGGGTATGATCACGGCTCATTGCAGCCTCAACATCCTGGCTTCAAGTAATTCTCCCACCTCAGCCTACTAAGTAGCTGAGACTACAGGCATGTACCACCACACCTGGCTAATTTTGTGTATTTTTTGTAGAGACAAGGGTCCGCCATGTTTCCCAGACTAATCTCAAACTCCTGGCCTCAAGTGATTCTCCCACCTTGACCTCCCAAAGTGCTGGGATTACAGGCATGAGCCACTGCGCCTGGCCCAGACACAGGTTTTGGTGGGAGATAGGTCCAGCATACCTTCGAAGGCAAAGAGTTGAAACTACCCCCAAAGTGGGAGAACACTGGGAAGAAAGACCAGGGGCATGGGGGGCACTTGGGTTAGAATCCCCATAAGTTCTAGAGTTGTGCCATGCAAAACAGTAGCTGCTAGCCACATGTAGCTTTTAAAATTATAGTTATATACTTTTGTGTGTGTGTGTGTGTGAGACAGACTCTGTTTCTCTCTCACCCTGACAGGAGTGCAGTGGTGCGATCTCAACTCACTGCAACCTCCACTTACCGGGCTCAAGTGATTCTCATGTCTCAGCCTCCCAGGTAGCTGGCATTACAGGCATGTGCCACCATGCCAGGCTGATTTTTGTATTTTTAGTAGAGAAAGAGTTTTTGCTGTGTTGGCTAGGCTGGTCTCAAACTCCTGGCCTCAAGTGAACTGCCTGCCTTGGCTCCCAAAGTGCTGGAGTTACAGGTGTGAGCCACCACACCTGGCCACTATGTGGAATGTTAAATTAATTCCTCAGTCATACTGGTCACCTCTCAAGGGCTCAGTTGTCACACATGGCCAGTGGCTACTGTATTGGATGGCAGAGACTGGTGCCCCGAAATCTCTATAGACTGTCCCTCTCCACCTCCTTCCAACCACATTTGGAGGAGCAGGGAAAGCCTCTTACTCATTTTTCCTGCTTCAGTTTCAGTCACTGAACTTATTGAGATTAAAATAGAAAAGTCCTGCCACCTGCTGTTTCAGTGCATTTTTCAGGGCCTTTATGGATGGGGCACATGGGCAGTGCTTACCAGCTGCGTTTCTCCCTATAGCAGCGCCACTGGCTGCACACTGCTGGTCTTTTACAGCCAGCAGAGGAGACATATCCCCTAACGCTTGACCAGATGGTGAGCTGACTGCAGTTAGAAAATCCTCCCATTGGCCAGCGTGATGGGTCACACCTATAATCCCAGCACTTTGGGAGGCTAAGGTGGGAGGATCATGAGGTCAGGAGATCAAGACCATCCTGGGTAACACAGTGAAACCCTGTCTCTACTAAAATACAAATTAGCCGGGATTGGTGGTGGGCACCTGCAGTCCCAGCTACTCCAGAGGCTAAGGCAGGAGAATCGTTTGAACCTGGGAGGTGGAGGTTGCAGTGAGCCGAGATTATACCACTGCACTCCAGCCTGGTGACAGAGTGAGAGTCCATCTCAGAAAAAAAAAAAAAAAAAGCGAGGTGTAGTTGCTCGTGCCTGTAATCCCAGCACTTTGGGAGTCTGAGGCAGGTGGATTACCTGAGGTCAGGAGTTTGAGACCAGCCTGGTCAACTACTGAAAATACAAACATTAGCCGGGCGTGGTGGTAAGTGCCTGTAATCTCAGCTACTCGGGAGGCTGAGGCAGGAGAATCGTTTGAACTCACAAGGCGGAGGTTGCAGTGAGCCAAGACCGTGCCATTGCACTCCAGCTTGGGTAACAGAGCGAGACTTTGTCTCAAAAGAAAAAAAAAGAAAGAAAGAAAATTGTGCCATTGTGGTGGCCAAGAACTCAGGATTTCTTCCTAGCCGGCTGGCCTCTTTCCTGGCCCCTGCAGCTTCAGTGTTTGGGGTTCCTGGCATGGCTTCCTTCTGTCACTGTCCCGGCATCTCTGCACACATGCCACAGGACCACCATCGAGCAGAGAGAGGCAGGCTCTGCTCCCCAAGGGGACTACCCTCCCTTAGAGGTGTGGAATGTTGGACAAGAGGAAGCCCAAGACAGGGTCCCTGACACTGAGTTTGCAGTTGTCTGGGGATGTCTCTTGTCCAAGTGCTATTACAGAGCTCAATTCTAAGATCCAGTTTCATCCAAGTCACCTTTTCTGGTATTAGGAAATAGAGCATCTCAGAGCACCTGTTGATAATTTCTCACACCCACCCCCCTCCACCTGGGACAGAGTCTTGCTCTGTCACCCAGGCTGAAGTACAATGGCATGATCTCGGTTCACTGCAACTTCCACCTCCCAGGTTCAAATGATTCTCCTGCCTCAGCCTCCCAAGTAGTGGGATTACAGGCATGTGCTACCATGCCCGGCTAATTTTTGTACTTTTAGTAGAGATGTGGTTTTACTATGTTGGTAGGCTGGTCTCACACTCCTGGCCTCAGGTGATCCACCTGGCTTGGCCTCCCAAAGTGCTGGGATTACAGGTGTGAGCCACTGTGCTTGGCCAGATAATTTCAAAAAATCCAGCAAATGCAGTAATGTGAAGTTCTAAAATGAGGCCAGGGCTGACTCAGGGCCCTTCTGACCCAGGGTCTATCAGGAGGGCCAAGGAATGGAGGGTGAGAATGTGAAGGAGTTGGGTGTGATGGCCCACGCCTGTAATCCCAGCACTTTGGGAGGATCGGGCAGGCAGATCACGAGGTCAAGAGATCGAGACCATCCTGGCCAACATGGTGAAACCCCGTCTCTAGTAAAAATACAAAAATTAGGCCGGGTGCAGTGGCTGACACCTGTAATCCCAGCACTTTGGGAGGCCAAGGCGAGTAGATCATGAGGTCAGCAGTTTTGAAACTAACCTGGCTAAGATGGTGAAACCCTGTCTCTATTAAAAATGCAAAAATTAGCCGGGCGCAGTGGTGGGTGCCTGTAATCACAGGTACTCAGGAGGCTGAGGCAGGAGAATCACTTGAACCCAGGAGGTAGAGGTTGTGGTGAGCCAAGATCGTGCCACTGCACTCCAGCGTGGAGACAGAGCAACACTCCATCTCAAAAAAAAAAAAAAAAAAAAAATGTGATGAAACACGATTGCAGTGACAGGAGAGACCATGAAATAGAGCAGACTGGGAGCTGGCAGCAGGGAGCCTAAGGGTGGGCAGCGGCTGGGGTGCCTGAGATGGTGTGGGGCCCTGCGGGGATTTTCCTTTTGCCCTTCTGGGAGCTGGTGGGCAGATCTCTGTCTGTGTGCAGGGCTCAGAGCTGCTTTCTGATGATGAGATGCCCCTCGGGATAGGGGGACAGTCCTTAAAATGCCAGGCGGAGGCTCAGACGGAGGAGCTGTTTCTGGAGGAAGAGGCTCGATGCTCCAGCCAGCAGCCCCCAGCCCAGCTAAGCCACAGGCCACAGAGGGGCCCGCTGCTGTGGCCAGAGAGGGGTGAGCAGCACCCCTTTGGAGGAACGGGAAGTGGTGCAGGGAAGGAAGGTGAAGGTGAATGGGGCATGGGGTGTGGCCAGAACAGGGTGTGGCCTGCCTGGATGCGGGGTGCACAGGCTCTCCAGCAAGGAGTGGGTCTTGGGTGGGCAACCACCGGGCTGTTGGGGCCTTTGACTGCAGGGGTGGTGAGGCGGTGCTGGATGAGCTGTGTGACTGGTGGTGACTCTGCTCCTTCCCAGGCCCTCCGGCCCCCCAGCATCAGGAGATGGCATCAGCCTCGCCCCTCCTTTCAGCCTGGTCCCAGGTGAGTAGGGTGCTCCTGGTCTACAGCGTCCCAGGGTCTGGCCCGACCTCCCGTGTGTCACACTTCCTTGTTGAGCGGAGACTTCTCTCCCAGTGGCCAGGGTTTTGGATGTCAGAGGAGCTCCTTCCTAGAATTTCCTCCCTTTCGTCCAGCCCTGGAGTTGCTTCCTCTGGCCTCCTGGGGAGTCTTCTCTCCAGAGGCCGTTTAAGTACTCGGTGACGCCCAGAAGATTCTGGGGTCCAATAGTGAGACAGAGTGGTGACTCCTGTCTTGCTGGGCACAGGGGCCTTTTGGGACTCAGGAAAATACAGGTTCATCTTACACCTCTGGTGTGGAATAGGAGTCTTCTTTGTTTGCTCACTTGTTTGTTTGATTTTTTTTTGAGCCGAAGTCTGGTACTGCGCTCACGCTAGAGTGCAGTAGTGTGATCATGGCTCACTGCAGTCTTGACCTCCCGGGCTCAAAAGATCCTCCTGCCTCAGCCTCCTGAGTTAGCTGGGACTACAGGTGTGCACCGCCACACCTGACTAGTTGTTCTTTTATTTTTTTGTAGATACACAGTCTTTCTGTGCTGCCTAGGCTGATCTTGAACTCCTGGGCTCAAGCAATACTCTTGCCTCAGCCTCCCAAAGCACTGGGATTACAGGCATGAGCCACCATGCCTGGCCTGTTTGATTTTTATTTTCATATTTATTTATTTATTATTTATTTATTTTGAGATGGAGTCTTGCTCTGTCACCCAGGCTGGAGTGCGGTGAAGAGATCTTGGCTCACTGCAACCTCCACCTCCTTGGTTCAAGCAATTCCCCTGCCTCAGCCTCCCGAGTAGCTGGCGTTACAGGAGTTCACCACCACGCCCGACTTAGTTTTATATTTTTTGTATAGACATAGTTTTACCATGTTGGCCAGAATGGTCTCGAACTCCTGACCCCAGGTGATCCACCCATCTTGGCCTCCCAAAGTGTTGGGATTACAGGCATGAGCTACTGAGCCCAGCCCTGTGCATTTTTAAACAGCAGCTTGACTGGGATGTAATTCACATACTGTACAATTCATCCATTTAAAATGGGCTGGGCACGGTGACTCATGCCTATATTCCCAGCACTTTGGGAGGCTGAGGCGAGTGGATCACTTGAGGTCAGGAGTTCCAGACCAGCCTGTCCAGCATGGTGAAAATCCCGTCTCTACTAAAAAAAAATTTAGCCGGACGTGCTTGCCTTGGACCCAGGAGGCAGAGGTTGTAGTGATCCCAGGTCTGCACTAGGCCATGGCAACAGAGCAAGACTCTGTCTCAAAAAAAAATAACAGTACAGTTTGTGTCCAGAGTAGTGCAGCCATCACCACAGTTTTAGAACCCTTTAGCCCCTCCACAAAGACCCCCTTGACTCATTAGCAGAGTCTCTCCCTTTTTCTCCCTCAGCACCTGGCAACCACAAAGCTCCTTTTTTCTTTGTGGATTTGCCTGTTCTGGAAAGGGTTGGCTTTTTTTTTTTTTAAACATGGTTAACCTATGCTTTTTATTTATTTATTTATTTATTTATTTTATTTATTTTTTTTGAGACGGAGTTTCGCTCTTGTTACCCAGGCTGTAGTGCA